AAGCCAACTTCCCTAAATTAACAGAAGATCAGAAACAAGAAATTAATAGTCCAATTACTAGTGAAGAAATTGAGACAGTGATTAAAGAACTAAAATTAGGTAAAGCACTGGGTACGGATGGTTTGACATCTATTTATCATAAAACTTTGGTACAAGAGATGATTCAACCTTTAAGACAGCTTTTTAATAATATATTACAGGGTTTAGAGATTCCCCCGTCATGGGGTAGAGCCTTTATATCTTTAATTCCAAAAGAAGATCAAGATCTTACTCTACCAAAGAATTATAGACCTATATCTCTTTTAAATGTAGATTATAAGATTTTTGCAAAAACATTAGCTAATAGGCTTATGAGGGTTTTGTGTCAGATTATACATAAGGATCAAACGTGTTTTATAACTAGAAGGTATATGAAGAATAATGTCAGACAAATTATTAACTTATTAGAATATCTAGATAAAAATAATCAAGTCTCTGCAGGATTGATATTTCTAGATGCTGAGAAAGCTTTTCACCAATTGAATTGGCAATTTATGTTAAGACTAATCGATAAAATGAACTTTGGAGAAAAAATTTCACAAGCTCTTGGTGCTATTTATCAAAAACAAACGGCACAACTTATAGTTAATGGGGACTTGTCAGAGGTTTTTACAATAGAAAAGGGGACTAGACAGGGATGTCCATTGTCACCTTTGCTGTTTGTTTTAACTTTGGAAATATTGTTGATTAAAATTCGAGAATCACAGCAAATAAAAGGAATAGAAGTTAACAAAAAAGAATACAAACTAAGAGCTTTTGCAGATGACTTGGTGGTTACCCTGTCCCAACCTACTCACTCCGTAATAGAGTTATTACAATTGATATATCAATATGGACGGGTTTCGGGTTTTAAAATTAATAACAATAAGACTAAAATACTACCCAAAAATATGACTAATATGGATAAGCAGACTATGGTTAATCTGACAGATTTTGAGGTTGTTGATAAGGTAAAATATTTGGGGGTTACTTTATCTGTCTCTAATGTAAAATTGTATAAAAATAATTATGAAAGGTTGTGGGTCAGGATACAAAGAGACTTGAAAAATTGGGAAAAGTTGCAATTATCTCTTTTGGGAAGAATTGCGGCGATTAAAATGAATGTCCTGCCTAAATTCCTTTTCTTATTTCAAATGATACCTATCTTAAAGAATGAGGCCAATTTAAATGAATGGCAGAAAGGTATCAATAAATTTATCTGGGCGGGGAAAAAACCAAGAGTAAAGCTTAAAATTATACAAGATATTCGTGAGAGAGGTGGACTCAAGGTACCGAATTTGAAATTGTTATTACGATGCTGTGGCCTTAACATTAATTAGTGATTGGGTTAATTTAACAAATGTAGAAATACTCCTCTTGGAGGGTTGGGATTTACTTTTTGGATGGCATGCCTATTTAATTTTTAATAAAAAAGTTGACCGGGTTTTTAAATCCCATATTATAAGGATTTCTCTACTTCAGGTTTGGAGGAAATACTACAGAAGTGATTCTAAAATACCATTATGGGCTATACCTTGGCATGCGATAGAGGGGATGAGAGGAGTTAAGATGGATAGTGTTTCTTATGCACAATTGCTTAGATGGGATGGTAAAATTTGGCAGTTAAAGTCTTTGGAAGATTTAGCACAAGAAAATATTATATATTCATGGTTTCAGTACAGACAAATAGTGGACAGATGGAAGATAGATCGTAATGTGGGCTTGCTTAGAGAAGATGAAAATTTTGTTAAACAAGTAAAAGATCAAAGACGAACTCATATTAAGAGAATTTATGGGTTGCTAGTAGAATTGGACTCAGAACCAGAATTAATTAAAGAATGTATGATTAAATGGGCACAAAATTTTGGTGAACCAGTTCTACTAGATACCTGGGAAATCATCTGGGTGAGAAATGTTAAATTTACACAAGCCCAGAACTTAAGGGAGAATTTTTATAAAATGTTTTATAGATGGCACCTTGATCCACAAAAAATGTCTCGTATGTATCCCGACTTACAGCTCAAATATTGGAGATGTGGTTGTTTGGATGCTTCTTATTACCATATTTGGTGGTCGTGTAAAAATATAAAAGCATTTTGGATTAAGATATGGTGGAATATTCAAAGAATTTTTAGAAGGAGGGTAAAATTTACCCCACAATTGTTTTTGCTAGGTATTGTTACCGATTGTGATACTAAGGAGGTTATACTGATGTTAAATTTAATTACAGCCGCAAGGTTGTTAGTAGGGCAATATTGGAAGAAGGAATCTTTGCCTACTTTGCAAGAGTGGTTTTTTAAAGTATCCTATCTGGCAGAAATGGCAAAGATTTCGGCTTTTTTAAAGGATCAATCGCAAGAGAAGTTTTTTGTGGTATGGGAAAAATGGATAGATTTTATACAACATAAGTTGGATATAAAAATATTACTTAGTTTATCAATAATTTATATATAAATTTTAATATTTTATAGATTGTATTATTTTTTCTTTTTTTATATGTTTTATTATTATTTTACTTTCTTATATTTCTTTTCTTCTTTCTTTCTCTTTATTCTTCTTTTTTTAGGTATTTTCTTTTTTTTTCTTTAATATTTATCTTTTTATATATATATATATTATTGTTAATTATTCTATTAGTAGTTTAAGTAATGTATTTAGACTTATCTATGGTTTATATATATATTTTTTAAGAATTCAAGAAAATTTAACTAAGCCTATATTCAGCTCTGGGAAAGTTGAGGGAGGGAGTGGGAGGGTTGGGGTGGGTTGTTTTTTCTTATTTTGTAAAATTTTAAAAATTTTCAATAAAAAAAAAAGAAATAGCTTTGGTACTAATTTGAAGAGGTACTTATTTGAGGATATTTGGGTTTCTTTTGAATTTGAAGAGATATAATTTCAGAAAGGCTCTGTAATATCGATTTGTCAAATGGATAGATCCAATGCAAGTTAGAATTATTTGAATAAAGTTTGGTAGTGTCAATTCATTCTCAAATTTGAAACAAAATGGCTAAATTTGGAAAGATTTGATTCAAGCTATTTAAGTCTTTTTCAGTATCCAGGAAAGAAATGATGGAATTGTCCTATTTGCACCAATACTGAAGCCACACAAACGTCTTAAATGTTATATCATACATAATGCTAAACCATAAATTCTGATGTATAAGCCAATGGCTAAGCTAAACTGAACAAATCACATTTTAGGCTAGCATGATATATGCCACCAGCCATAAACTTACACAACCAGAACTCGATGAATATGGTAGCAGAAACAGATACTCAACAAATTGTTATTTCTATGTCTTATCTTCACGATATTGCTACCTCAAGGTTCTCTTTGTCCAAGCTAAGATTTGACATTTATAAACTTTAATGATACCTAGTGATAGAAATCAAGATATAGCATAATGAGAACAATGTGCTACATATTATGAGACATTCACTAGAAATTAAATATAAAATGAACAGCAATTTGAACAACTGGTGACCAATTAAGCAGTTTAGACTAGACTAGACTAGACTAGACTAGACTAGACTAGACTAGACTAGACTAGGAGCTGGAAGGGATCTTAGAGGTCGTCTAGTCCAGCCCCCTACTCAAGCAGGAGAACCTATACCATCTCAGGCAAGTGACTAGCCTCTTCTTAAAATCTCCAGTGATGGAGCGCCCATGATTTCTGAAGGCAAGCTGTTCCACTGATTAATTGTCCTCACTGTTAGGAAGTTTCTCCTTAATTCCAGATTGCTTCTCTCTTTGATCAATTTTCAATCATTGTTTCTTGTCCTGCGTTCTGATCCTTTGGAGAATAACATGATCCCCTTTTGTTTAGGGCAGCCCCTCAAATACTGGAACACTGCTATCATGTCTCCCCTATTTCTTCTTTTCTTTAGACTAGCAGCCATTCTTCATATGTTTTAGTCTCTAGGCCTTTGATCATCTTACCGGTAGTCGCTCTTCCCTGAATTTTTTCCAAACTCTCAACATCTTTTTTGTAGTATGGCAACCAAAATTGGCTGCAGTATTCCAGGTGTGGTCTTACTAGGGTTTTATAAAGCGGTACTAATACCTCACGTGATCTTGATTCTATGCCTGTTTACACAACCCAGGATTGTATTAGGTTGTTTTTTTTTTGGCTGCTGCTGCACATTGCTGGCTTATAGTCAAGTGATCATCCGCTAGGTTCTTCTCACAGTTACTGTTTTTAAGCCAGGTCTCACCTGATCTGTACTTGTACCTTTGGTTTTTCCTGCCTAAATGTAAAACTTTGCTTTTCTCCACATTGAAATTTATTTTGTTGGATAGGGCCCATTATTCAAATTTGTCAAGATGTTTTTGGATCCTGAGTTTGTCTTCTGGAATATTGGATACTCTGCCAGTTTAGTGTCATCTGCAAATTTGATGCGTTCCCCTTCACGTCCCTCATCTAAGTCATTTATGAAGATATTTGTGCAGTCTATGTAACTCATCGATAATGGTAAGTATCCTGCTCTGAAATATGCAGGGCTTGAACTGAAATATGCAGGGCTTGAACTGAAACTATGATTCAGAAAACTGTTAAACATACAGTTATTAAACAAATATTGATGCAAATTTATCTTCATGACTGAAATTGTATAGAACAAGTTGAGCCAAATATTTAGCCCTTCTGCTAAGGTATTTAGCATTTTTCCAATGGAATCACAAAAAGGAAGACTGTTAACCTCAACAAGACTCACTCAAAAGTCAAAAGTCAAAATTAAAAATTACATTTCATTCCTTGTATTAAACAGTGGTTGACATAACCTTTGAAAAGTCCCAATTTGCTCATTCCTGAGTATGTTTAATTTTATTGCTTTGGATTTTGTCTTTATCATATGAGTTCTGGATATGATAGAATTAAATAATTGCATGCCTTATTTTGTCTTTCATTTTCAGTCATGTCTTAATATTGATGATTCTTTGGGTCTTTTACCCATTTATTTGGTTTTTTAAAATAATTCCATTATTTTTATTTAGCTTGGTTTATTTAAAAATAGTAAATTAAAAAAAGAAAAGATCATAATTCCATAGAACAGTCTATAGATAGTTTGGAAAGACTTTTTCTCAATATTCAACTATTACAAATAAACAAACACAAGTTTGGAACAAACTAAAATTCAAAGACATGATTAATGTTTTTATCAAATTAGGCCACTGAGAAATACTACTGAACTGATTGGAAAAATCACAGTTATTTGGAAATATAAAAATAATAAAATGACAGTCATTTGTTATGTAAAATTATGATTTCATTAACTTTTATGTACACAGTCCTCGAGTTATAGATGTAATGGATACTACCGTTCATACCTTAAATGTGATTCACTCCCTTTCGCCCACGCATTCCCTAATCGAATGCATAGGCGAATGCGCTGTTCATTAATCGCATGTGGTATCTCAAGGTGGGGAAGATCATGGAGGGCCCAGTGATGGAACAGGCCCCCAAGGCTTCCCCAACCCACTAAGATACCTCATGCTTCCCCTGCCCTTCTTGCCGTGCTGGACTCATCTTGAAAAGAACCTTCTCCTCTCTGCCACGGTTCCTGCTGCCGCCCGGATTTGAGGCTGGGGGATGCTTCCGCTGCCCTCCAGAAGCCGGATCTGGGTGTCGGAGGCCTTTTCCAGGCCACTGCTGCCTGGATTCTGAGGCCGGGGGATGCTTCCGCTACCTTCTGGAGGCTAGATTCGGGCATTGGAGGCCTTATCCAGGCTGCTGCTGCCCAGAAGAAAGGCCGGGGGATGTTTCCACATGCCTCTGGAGGCCCATTTCCAGGTGGCAGCAGGCTGAAAAAGGCCTCCGACACCCAGATCCAGCCTCTGGAGTCACGCAGAAACATCCCCCAGCCTCAGATCTTGGTGGCAGTGGCCTAGAAAAGGCCTCTGACGCCCAGATCCAGCCTTGGAGTGCCACAAAAGTGTCCCCCAGCCTCAGATTCAGGCAGCAGCAGCCTGGAAAAGGCCTCAACACCCAGATCCAGCCTCTGGAGGTATATGGAAGCGTCCTGACTTCAGTTCCATTCTTTGTTGCAAAGAACAGAGGCCTAAAGTACCATGAGATCAGTAGCATGAGATCTTGCACCACTAATTTTACGTGATCTTGCATTACTTTAGGTCTCCATTCTCTGCGAATGCAACAAGGGCCTGGAGCAGCCAAGAAAGTGAAGGATCTTATTCTTCACAGGGTGAGTACTGAAGGCCTAGTGCCTAGGGAGACCCGGGGCTGGGGGGGGGGGGAGAGAATAACCAAGGTGAATGTTGCAGTGCCACTGCAGTCGTTTATAAGGGTGAACGACTGCCATTGTGTGGCAACATTCATAATTTCTGGAATTGCTCATAAGCACTAGGGGGTGCTTATCGCATAATCTTGAATGTTCGCTAAGGGAACGTTCACAACTCGGGAATTACCTGTAGGGTTTTTTTTTTTTTACCTACAATAAATGTAAGCTTAGAATATATAAAAAAATAATTTTTTCTTCCTTATAATACCAGAAGTATTAACTGGGTCTTTGTATGTTATGTATTCAAGAAAAGTAACAAATGTGATATCTAAAACATAATCCAATAGTCATTAAAGCTGTAAATATGACTTCAATGTATGTTTTGAATGAAGTGAAATCTTTTATCCATTATGTCAGTAGCATAATGTCCAATCATTAGAAAAAAATAAAATAAATGTATGCTATGGAAATATACAATATTTCCAGTAACAAAAATAATTAAAATAAAAATAATAAAATAATGTATGCTATGGAAATATACAGTATTTCCAGTAACAAAAATAATTTACTTAATGCAAAATTTGAACTATAGTTTGCACTGATTTTTTTTATAATAGATTTGTATTCAAAATGTAATTAGTTGCTTTAAAAATTCTAATGTTTTTGCCTCTTAGTCTAAGTCAAAACCAAATAATACAAAGAAATGTTTAAATGTTTTGATTTTGAACATTCTGTTCTACAAAGGATAAGGCTCCACTGCTTTAACTAAATTCAACACACAAGCTGGTCAACAAGCAAATGTTTAAATTCTGGATTCAGGTTGTTTACAGCATTCATTACAACCCCACCTATAAACCTGGATAGGAAAGCAGTGTCCTTTTGTTAATTTAGAAATACCCAAAAGTAATAGACTAAGTAATTAAAAGTATGTTAAGGTGGTTGTATAGCCACAAGGTTGTTCCTTCAAAAATGACCTGTGCCTCACTTTTGCTTTATTGGTAGCTTTCTATGAATAATAGCTTTATCCTACTATTCAGATATTAAAAAGATTTGGTAATGTTTTTAATAAGCTTCAAGCCAGTGACCAGCAGAAATGAATGGAGTGAAAAAAATGTTTCTAGAAATCTCCAGAAGGAAATCCAATGAACACAACAGAATTCCTACTCTGAAAAAATGCTAGTCCCCACTATCTCTGCTGATTAATCTGATTTAATAACGCTACATATGAACTGTGGACATTTCAGGCTACTAGCTATTTTAAAGCTAGAAAAGTTTTCTTTGTATTTCATATTGTATTGTTTCTTTCAACTTTTATTAATCTGTTCAAAAGTAAAAGCTCCACAAGGGCTACTTCAAACATTGTGTGCCTGTAAACATGTATCCAGTAGTTTGGGTGTACATAGTAGCAGGATGCCACAAACATTTCCAAGCAGTGCTTGTACAAAATTAATAAACTATGAACTCTGTATGCATTTACTTGGATAAAACATTCATAGGACTAGGCTGCAAATAGAAATGGGTTATTTCTTTTTACTGCAGGACAGATGCCAGTATGAATTTTATCAGCTAGTGGACTGATTGTGCCATGCAGTGCAAATCAAGGGCAATAGACTAGATGATTTGTCAAGATAGAAGTGAAAGCAGAAAGGGGGGAACATACATTTCTAGTATTTCACAATTATAACTATGATTGAACAGACAGTTGTTGGAAATCTGAAATCCTTTTCTTGTACAGCTCTATTACCACCCTTTTTACCTGGCTTGATAGTTCAATTGGGTCACTCTACAAGTCTTAATAACTGTACCTCAAGATACATTCATCATTAAATAATTGAAAAATTCAGCTACAAAAATAACATAAAACGCCCAATTGGATTGATCTGACTACCATGGAAAAGACTGATTTACTGGGCATACTCAGAAATTCCATTAACAAGTTACATCAACATTTTACCTCCAAAAATATGGAAATTTCTTCATTGTTTTATTAAACCAAAACCTATCTAATCCCTATTTTAGGCCTTTCTTGACATTTATTCACAGCCAACAATTATTCCATCATTCTAAATACAGGAATTGAACCTAAGTCTCAAACTATTTTCCAATGATCAAGTTACTTCAGTCTAATGAACCACCAGCTGTTGCATGTACTAGGGTGAACTAGGGAATGGCCTGTTAAAAGATGATACAGGCCATTCTTTTGTAACAGTCTGAAGTTTCCTTTCCCAGTACATTTTTTTTTTGTTTAACACTTCCATCTTGATTCTGTGTTCTTCTTCAGCCATTTCACATTCCCTTTCTATCTGTTGAATTTTTGCTACATGGACTTCATTCATTTGGATCAGTTGCAGTTGTAAAATAGACATTTGCTGATGGTGTTCCTCTTCATGCATCTTTTTCAAATCACTTTCTTGAGCAGCTTTATTTCTGAAGTTTTTATTTCCAGTTACTCTGACTGCTGAACAGGAAGGCTCAGACTGCGAGGTGCCTTCACATACCTGGAAATGTACAAGTCCTTTCTCTTCATCACATGATTCTTTGTTAATAATAGTGAAAGATTCTGGGAAAATAAAAGAAACAATCAAAAACTGTATGAGTTTTTAAATAAAATTTCCCCTGCTATAAGATTGAATTCACATTGTGGGAAGAATGTATCTTTCTTTCTTTCCCCTTCTATAGGTTCTCATTCACAATGTGGAAATAATGTATCTGGAAAACTTAGATTCCCATTATCAGTATGACTTTTACTGAATGCCCTTGGTAAATTATAAATAGCTGAACTATTTCATATAGTGATCTATGAAGAAAAAGCATTTTATAGGGAGGGTAAGATTACAATGTGAAAAATAAAATGATAACTAAAACCATTTCTGTAATCTTCCATAAATATTCAGGAGACACTAGATGGCAAAATTGTCTACAGCAGGACAATATGAAATTATAAACATATTTTAAGGAAGGCATGCCTCTTCCCCAAAATGCTAAAGGTAATTGGAAAGAAAGATTGTTGTTGATATATGTATATGCATATAATTTTCACTTTTGAAAAGGGGTGTTGTCTTATCTGAACATCTTTTCTCAGCATGACAATGGAGAGAATCCACACAGATGGGGTTGATCCTTGTCTTCCTGCCCAGAGACTAAATCAATCAACCTTTGCCACACCTCTTCCTCTGGGCTAAGGACCCAGTCTTGACGAAGGCATAGCCGTTGATGACATTACCATGTGGTGGCTCAAATACCCCTGACACAGGACCTGATGGACCTAAACAGGGGGGAGTGGATTCTCCATCGTCATGCTGAGAAAAGGCATTCAGGTAAGATAATGCCCCTTCTCCAGCATGATCGATGGAGAATCCACACAGATGGGACATACCAAAGCCTCACTGTCCCCATGGTTGGGAAGTAGTCTGGGCCTGTGTCCCACTATCTGGCACTACTCGGCGGAGAACTCTGCAATCCAAAATGACATCCGCCAAAGCGAACTTATCCAGGTTATAATGCCTCGCAAAAGAGGAAGGCGATGTCCATGTCGCTGCCCTACAAGTTTCCGCGATCAACACCTGTGTCGCCCACGCCTCTGAGGGTGCAGCACAGCGAGTCGAGTGTGCGGTGATCTGACTGGGAACCAGCAAGGAGTGTGCCAAGTACTGCCATGTAAGCCTTAAGCCATCTGCCAATGGTAGAGGCAGATACCATCAGGTTCATTGAAGAGGGCTGGAATGCAACAAAGAGGGCTGCAGATTGCGAAAAGGTGCATAGCGATGTAAGACTCAGCGAACGTTCACAATGTGCCACTTACGTTCCAAGTCGTGAGACAGCTAAGGGCAAACATCTGTCAGCACAACCTCCAGCGCCTATGACACAAAGAATTGATCTTGGGAACAAAAGAGGGATCCAATCACAGGACTATCCTGTCAACATGGGAGATGTCTAAGTCGTCCTTGATAGACAGAGCTGCCAGTTCAGAAATGAGCCAAGCTGATGTAAGGCCACGAAAAGGGCGACTTTAAGCATCAGGAACCTCAGAGAGTAGGTTCTGATGGCTCAAATGGAGGTGAAATGAGGATCTGCAGGACCCTGGACAGATCCCAAGGGATATCTGTGAACCCCGGGTGTTGATTGCTCCCTTAACAAAGGGGCGCACCATGGGATGTTGAGACAAGGACCCAGAATTGTCCCACAGAAGCATCGTGGACCAGGTAGCACTTAGCTGCGGATTGTACAGGGCACCTAGCCCTTCCTGAGTCCCCCCCCAACAAATACTCCAAAATCTTTGGACTAGTGATCATCGATGGGCTCAATTGTTGCTCCCCACACCGGGTACAGAAATCTTTCCATGTGGAATCATAATTCCTGTTAGATGAGGGCCGTCTTTTAGACTGAATCACAGTAACGACTTCTGATGAGTAGAGCTCTTGCGTCAGGAGCCGCCGTTCAAATGCTAGGTGGTCAACCGGAGTCACTGGTACTCAGGGCATTGTAGAATCCCCACGGAGAGATTTGAGAGATCCATGAGTTCGGCAACCATGGGCGTCCAGACAGTGTGGGGCACCCAGTATCCCCTCTGCTTGTTCCTGCAGTATCTTACAGAGAACTGCCTGAGTCAGAGGAAGGAATGCAAATAACAGACGCCGGCCATGGCCTGCGGAGAGCATCTGCCCTTTCCGCCCCTGGAGATGGGAACCGGGGAAAAAGCCTTGGGGACCAGGAATTCGCTGTAGTAATGAATGAATCCAGTACTGGAAACCGAACTTTTCCAATATATCCCAGAGGAGATCTGGATGCAGGCTCCACTTGAAGTGATCCACTGTCGCCCTGTTCAAGAACACCGCCTCCCAAGATGAGATCGGCCCGAGGGAGGAGAGGTTGGTCTCTGCCCAGGTTCCCAATAATTGAGCCCCAACCATAAGGGACCTGAAATGGGTACCCCCTTGCTGGTTGACATGGGCTTTCGCTGCCATGTTGTCTATGAGGACTGAAACATGTTGCCTTGCCACTGTGCTGCGAAAGTGGATTAAAGCCAAGTGTATAGCTCTGAAATCCAACCAGTTTATGTTGTGTTTCAGGTCTGACCGGAACCACCGGCCCTGAGCCAGCTGTGCTTGTAAGCGCACTCTCCAGCTGAACAAGCTGGCTTCCAAAGTCAGGATGATCCAGGTGGGTTCCTTGAACAAGGTCCCCCTGGCTATCGCTGGGGAGATCCACCACTGGAAGGATCTTAGGGTCTGAGACGGAACCTTTACCCTTGGGCTGGAGAAACTGGTGTCCAGTCTCTGGAACAGAAGCCAGAACCATTGCAGGTTCTTGGAATGTCATCTGGCCCAAGGTACTATCACTATGTAGGAAATCGTATTTCCAAATAATTGGGAAAGCATAGCCAGGGTGACTACCCGCTCCCCTTGTACCTGGATGACCAGGGATTGGATGTAGTCTAGCCGTTCCCGAGACAGGTAGACCTCGCATCTCCTTGTCCTGACAGAGTCAACTGAACCAAGGAGGATAGAACGAAAATATAGCCCAGATAACACTGGATCGGTCCTGAAATGTGCGACCAGCGCCACTAGGGCCCTGTAAACACCCTGAGGCCAATGAGAGGCCGAAGAGTAGGGCCAAACAATGAAGTGTTGGCCTGTGTGGCAGCACCTGAGGAACTGCAAGATTGGAGCGTTCCTGCCTGAACCTCTCATATGCCAAGTGAGTATTGATTCCCTTTAAACTCGAGGATTGAGGTGCCATTGCATCTTTGTCTGCCATTGCATCGTTGTCTGCCATCACAATCAGAGATATCTTGGTGGTAGCCAAGAGGGATCTCAAAGGAGATATCTTAGTGGTGTGCTGAGAGAGTCTCAATAGTAAGGAGTGGAGTACTGATAGTGGCAGGGCCACTCGATGGAATGAACATCTGTACTCAAGGGTTAAACTTGGCTGCAGACCAAATTAATGGTACTGCCCTCACTCATGTAATGCTCCTGATGGCAGCAGGACCAGTAAGAGCACATCCAGTGCTCTGGTCAGTGTCACCATGGTGGCAAACCCAAATTCAATGGTAACGGCCAGCTCACAATGATTCACTTAGTGACATTAAGATCAACTTAATGGCAAAGGCCAGCACACTAGTCCTAGCTAGTGGCGGTAAGACCAACTTAATGATACGGCCATACCTTCTTCTGTCAGGATAAGGAGGTAGTCAACGCTAGGCCGGGGTCTTGTGCGAGCTAAGGTAGCAGTTGTAATGCTCGCCTCCTTATATAGGTCCAAAGCCCTGAGTCCTAAAAGACCCAATGAAGGGAAGGAGGCTAGGCAGATTTGAGGCAAGGAGGGCTTAATTGAATGAAGTCCGACCCTTGATGTAACAATTAAACAGTATTCAAATGCCTAGCAATTTGTGTTTCTGTAGTAGGCCGAACCCTCGTCGCAGACGCAGGCATCTGAAGACCAGGTCTTTCGCTGGAAGGGGCCATGGAAAATTGTTACACTAAAGCCTGGTGTCTCCTGCTGGCTTCCGTCCCAACAGCCGCAGAGGGCCTCTTCTTGCCCGAGATAGTTAGGCCTTAAGTTTCCCGATTGCAAATAAGCTATATCTCAGTGGTGAGCTGAGAGGGATCTCAACAGTAACAGGAAATAGCCAGTACACGGAAGTCTAATAGTGGTTGTAAGGCCAACTCAATGGCCATGGCCAGTCCACATGTGATCCGCTCAGTGAGCAGCAAGATTAACCTAATGATATCGGCCAACACACGTATAATCCACTTAATTGGTGGTAAGCCAAATTAATGGTTATGGCCAGCACAATTGGTTCCTTTAGAGGCGGCAAGCTCACCTTAATAGCAAAAGGTTGTAAAAGGGAGGAGGTCTTTAGCCCAGACGCAGCTACATTCTGTCGTTTTGTGCCTTGGAGAAATGTTTCTCTAAGGCCTGGAGCCTCCTACTGGCCTCCTTTTCAGCCACCCTAGAAGATTTCTCGACAGAAATAGCCTTGGTCTTAAGTTTACCTGCCACCTCCTGTTTGGAGAACTTGGACTTCCCTTTTCGTGGAAGTGCAGAAAGGCATCCTCTGAAGTCTGAGATGCCAAGTTGTCTGCCATCGCAATCCACCCAGTGGTGTGCTGAGAGGGATCTCAATGGTAAGGAGCAGAGTACTGATAGTGGCAGGGCCACTCAATGTAAGAAACAGTGTACTCAAGGTTCCAATGTGACTGCAGAACCAAATTAATGGTACTGCCCTCACCCATGCAATGCTCCTGATGGCAGTATGGGTCAAAAAATCCACCATAGATGGTCAATTCAACTGTGGTGGCAAGACCGACTGAATGGTAACAGCCCGTTCACAAATAGTTCACTTAGTGATGTTTATCTCACCTAGTGATGGCAATACCAACTCAATGGTTACAGCCAAACTTACATGTGTTTCACTTAGTGACGGCAAGACCAACTCAATGGTAACAGTGAAACTTACATGTGTTTCACTTAATGATAGCAAGACCAACTCAATGGTAACCGTCAGGTCACATGTAGTTCACTTAGCGACAGCAAAACCAACTCAATGGTAACAGTCAAGTCATATATAGTTCACTTAGTGACAGTAAAACCAACTCAATGGTAAGATCCAATGCACATGTGTTTCACTTAGTGATGGCAAGACCAACTCAATGGTAACAGACAGTTCACGTGTATTTCACTTAGTGATGGCAAGACTAATTCGATGGTAAGTCAGGTCGCATGTGCTTCACTTAGTGGCGGGTAATAGCCAGCACACATTCACCTTCAGAATGGTCATGAGACCCTGCTTCCAAAGTGGCGGCTTTGCCTCTGCTGCCTCTGCTTGCAGGCCTGAACGCCCAGAGGCTGAATAGAAATTAACATATAGATTGAATTGAACCAGGAGGCAGTTATACTGAATCCATACTTGATGCAATAATTAGTCCCTTTTAGATGTAAATATGCTGATTGCTGGTTGTGATGCGCAGCCTCCAAAAGAATGGCCGTCACTCGGCCTTGTTGAGATCTAGGGCCTTAGTATATAGTGTAGCCGGATTTAAATTCTGTTGCTGCCTTTGCCTGGTAACCAGAACAAACATAGTTCCGGGAACAATGCTGGCTTTCGCCCCTGAATCAGACTTGAAAAGGGAAAAACAACAACTTAAATGCTGCCTGTTTCTGCAGCAAGCCCATGCGGCGCCCAGAATGGAGATGTTGCTGCCTTTATCTGGTAACCAGACACAAACCCAGTTCTGGGGACAATGCTGGCCTTCGCCCCTGAATAAGCAATCAAACTTGAAAGGGAAAATCAACAACTTAAATGCTGCCTGTTTCTGCAGCACGCCGGGCGAAAATGAAAGTAGCTGGGGCTTCAGCCTATGCCCAGAGGAAAGCAGCCAGAATCAAGCACTCAAGCGACATGCTTTCAAATCAATCGACACAAGAAGGAAACCAAGCAAGGGGAGACAATCAAAGGGAAAACCAGCGAGCCTCCACATGGTGTCTGCTGGCTCACGCCGTAACGGCCATCCTACAAAGGCTATATACAAAACTTCAGTTGAAGCCTCAAATCCCCTGAAAACCCAGCGATTCAACCTGCGCTATGAAGCATAGCAACTGGAGAAAAAATCCACCATTGATGGGAAATAAACAACAGAGAAACAGTACCTGATCTGTCTCTGCCTAAAGTCTGAGCCAATCTTACCACACCTCATTGGGCTGAAGACTAAGTCAAGACTGGGTCCTTAGCCCAGAGGAAGAGCCGTGGCAAAGGTTGATTGACTTAGTTTCAGGGCAGGAAGACAATGATCAACCCCATCTGTGTGGATTCTCCATTGATCATGCTGGAGAATGTTTCACTTCTGGTACATTGCGTAAATATTTCTTACTTTATTTCAGTTCCAAGCTTGGGAATAAGGCTGAAATTCATGTAGTTTACTGAAAAAGGAAAAATCCAGAAATTTAAGTTTATGTCCAGATTCAGGAAATTATCAGTTTTCTAATATTATCCATCCTAGGTACTTTGAACTCAATGGACTGCAAGAGGAAGGTACAAGAAATTTGTCCTAGCTTCTCTTTGTTTGTAGAACTATAGGTAAGTTCCTTTTTCTATTCATGACAAGGAGAAAAACTACCCATTCAAAGATGTAACACTTCAGATAATTAAACATTAAACATATTTCAATTATTTATAACATGCATTCACATTAGGTGATTGATGTAATTTTCAAAGCTATATTATTGAAAAAAATAATTGTTTTACTTTTATTAATTGTCCAATTGTAGTATGTTTTCAATAACTTCTTAATAAAACAAATATACAAATTTATACATAGTCATATTTAAAATAGTACACTTTGTATTGAAGTTTATTACCGTGTCTCCCGAAAGTAATACCTACCCCAAAAGTAAGTCCTAACTTGATTTTGGGGGGTGGGCCTAATATAAGCCCTACTCCCTAAATAAGGCCTAGTTTGGGGATGAGGCATATACCTAAAAATCAAGCTATGGCGGGGTGGAGCTGCCCCACACGTCCTGCATCACAGCAGACAGGCCTCCCATGCCCTGACACTTGTCAATCCACATGGCTTGTCACAGCGGTGCCACCATTTGTGGCAGGAGGCCACATAGCACTTCAAGCCATTGCCACTGCTTGCAGCAGAAGGCCACATGGTGCTTCACACTGTTACCGCCGATCGGAGCAGGAAGTCCTGCGATGCTTTGGGCTATTTCCACTGCTCACAGTAGGAGGCCACATGGTGCTTCAAGCCATTGCCACCACTCGAGGCAAGAAGCTGTGCAGAGCTTTGGGCAGTTTTCACTGCTTGTGGCAGGAGGCCACATGGTGCTTCATGCCATTTCCCTTGTTGGCGGCAAGAGGCCGCAAGGTGCTTCATACCATTGCTGTTGCTTGCGGCAGGATGCCTCATGTGCTTTGGGTCGTTGCCACTGGCCTCCTGCTGCAAGCAGCAGCAACAGAAGCAACAAAAAAATGTAAAACTTATGAAGAAATTAAAGGGGCTATCCTACCCAGCTCCTAAAGACTTGCCTGAAATGTAGTATAAACCCTTAAAAAAGCTTAATATAGTTAAAATACAAATAGAAATCCCAAATCTCCCTTTCCATGAGGAAAGCTTAGTGAATCCTGGTCTCACCCATGTGTATGCTATGACACCAGCCATAATAATGCATAGGTTGCACTGTCCCCTGCATTTTTCAGAATCTCTATTCCTATATTCAGGAAAGATTCCACTGTCAAAGTTTTTTTTCTCTCTCCTAAAACATGGTGGTGGTGCTATAGCTAAGACACAATTCAGGACTGATCTTGCTGTTAATGCAGCTATGAACAGTGAGCTGTATCTCAATTATATAGTGAATTTGTACATGTGATTTGCTTACACTTTAAAACTGATGTCATTATACAGATACCAGTGGATAAATGCAAATATCCTATCTACTTTTGAAAAAGAAAAAAAAATTAATATAGGTCACTAGGTTATGACTGTACCTTGATTGGAAGTTTCAGGCTGATATTCAGAATCTTCTTCTGGTGGAGTCTGTAAAAAATACACTTGCTCTGGTATCATGTTGGTGATCTTCTCTTTTCCTAGGATGTGATTACTTATAAGTGGACTAATACATCTTTTTACCTTATCTCGTCTTTCATGTGCCATTATTTTCTTTGTCCTAGCTTTGATGTTCTCCCAGCATTTCTTCAACTGCTTGAAATCTCGGAGTGATACATTTGGTTGGGAATTATATTCATGAGCTAGGGCCTGCCAAGTCCGTTGTTTCAGTGCAATAGTCCTTGCATCACTCTTTTTACATTCAAGTACATACTTATATTTTTCAACCAATGCCAGCAGCACACTTTTCTCCACTTCAGAGAAATACTTGGCAGGCTTTATTACTTCACTGTTTTGCATTTTCTGTCAATTCTCTGGGATATCAAAGCAAGCTGAAATTCAATAGAAATGCTTTAGATTTGGAAACATTAATCATTATAAAGTCTCTACACTTTAATTATAAAATATAATATTCACATATTCATAAGAAATACACAAACGTATATATATGACAGCCAATTTGTACAATCAATAACAGGTGAGTTCAAACAAAACTTGGTGTAATTTCTAATAATTTGTAACTTACCTTGCAAGATGTTGTCATAGTCACTTGATCTGTTATTTAAAAATACATGGAAAATAAAATATCTCAGTTCCAGTTAGCCACAAAAATGGCATGCCCATCTTCAGGGGCAATATAGCTCTGAATACTAGCAAATGATGGCCATTGTTCTTCATGTCCTAATTACAAGCTTCCAAAGGGCATCTGGTAAACAACCACTATACACAGATACCTGTACTAAAAGACCTTTCAGGCTAAACTCTTTAACTCTTCTAATAAACAAAATTAAAATATCAGTTATCAAAGAATTGTGGATATGGGTCTGTATTTCTCTTATACTTTATTTTGGAAAAGATACAAATTCTATTATAGAATAGAATATTCTAAAAAAATAATTTATTCACATTTTATCATTTGAGCGAATTACTAGAATTTATTTTAAAAAGGGATACATGAAATTCTGAAGCAACTTGAATTCTGCTATTTGTAATTTTTTAATTTCATTCAAAGGAATTTACTATTATGAAGATAACAGATAATCAGATTTACAAATTATATTTGTAGATAAAGATGCTCAAGTAAGATATGTATCTAATGCAACCTACTGCTATAGCAGTGATAAGTTATCATATAGAAAAAACAAATGAATCACAATTGTTTTATATCTGTATTTTCTTGGATAATTAATCAGCCCTGAAACAGATTTCTAAAAACAAATATCTTCATATATTAAAGTACTTATGAGCAGAATAATTAATATTTACTGTCTTCTTGCTGTCATTACTGATAAGCATGCACGGCCTTTGTGAAACAGCTGCTGGGAACACAAGACTGTATTCTTGTTCAGTGTGGCAATTTCATTGTGAGGAGAAAGCTTCATGAGGCCAGAAGATGCCTCACAGAGAGTTAGATCATGCATGTCATCTGAAGAAGCAGAAGGTCAACTGAATATGGTGGACTACAAGGTCTCAAGGCTGGCTTGCATTACAGAACTAACTGGATGGCTGGGTCTTCATACCACACTTTGGGCTTAGAATGGTTTTGTCTCTGCATCGCTGGGCTTGGAGAGGTCCAGCAAGGGAAGTACTGTGAGAGAAAAAATTATTTGATCCCCTGCTGATTTTGTATGTTTGCCCACTGAGAAAGAAATGATCAGTCTATAACTTTCATGGTAGGTTTATTTTAACAGTGGGAGACAGAATAACAAAACAAAATCCAGAAAAAAATCATTTCAAAAAAGTTATAAATTGTTTTGCATTTTAATGAGTGAAATAAATATTTGATCCTGTATCGATCAGCAATATTTCTGGCTCCCAGGTGTCTTTTATACAGGTAACGAGCTGAGATTAGGAGCATTCTCTTAAAGGGAGTGCTCCTAATCTCAGCTTGTTACCTGTATAAAAGACACCTGTTCACAGAAACAATCAATCAATCAGATTCCAAACTCTCTACCATGGCCAAGACTAAAGAGCTGTCCAAGGATGTCAGGAACAAGATTGTAGACTGGAATAGGCTACAAGACTATTGCCAAACAGCTTGGGGAGAAGATGACAACAGTTAATCTGATTATTCTGCAAATGGAAGAAACACAAAATAATTTTCAATTTCCCTCCATCTGGGGCTCCGTGCAAGATCTCACCTCGTGGAGTTTTAACGATCATGAGAACGGTGAGGAATCAGCCCAGAACTACACGGGAGGATCTTGTCAACAATCTCAAGGCAGCTGGGACCATAGTCACCAAGAAAACAATTAGTAACACATTACGCCGTGAAGGACTGAAATCCTGCAGTGCCTGCAAGGTCCCCTTGCTCAAGAAAGCACATGTACAGGCCTGTCTGAAGTTTGCCAATGAACATCTGAATGATTCAGAGGAGAACTGGGTGAAAGTGTTGTGGTCAGATCAGACCAAAATCAAGCTCTTTGGCATCACCTCAACTCACCGTGTTTGGAGGAGGAGGAATGCTGTCTATGACTCCAAGAACACCATCCCCACCATCAAACACGGAGATGGAAACATTATGCTTTGGGGGTGTTTTTCTGCTACGGGGACAGGACAACTTCATTGCATCCAAGGGGCAATGGACGGGGCCATGTACCATCAAATCTTGGGTGAGGACCTCCTTTCCTCAGCCAGGGCATTGAAAAGGGGTCGTGGATGGGTATTCCAGCATGGCAATGACCCAAAACACACGGCCAAGGCAACAAGGGAGTGACTCAAGAAGAAGCACATTAAGATCCTGGAGTGGCCTAGCCAGTCTCCAGACCTTAATCCCATAGAAAATCTGTGGAAGAAGGTGAAGGTTTGAGCTGCCAAATGTCAGCCTTGAAACCTTAATGACTCGGAGAGGAACTAAAAAGAGGAGTTGGACAAAATCCCTCTGAGATGTGTGCAAACCTGGTGGCCAAGTGCAAGAAAAGTCTGACCTCTACGATTGCCAAAAAGGGTTTCGCCACCAAGTACTGTCAAATACTTATTTCACTCATTAAAAGGCAAATCAATTCATAACTTTTTTGAAATGCTTTTTTCTAGATTTTTGTTGTTGTTGTTGTTATTCTGTCTCTCACTGTTAAAATATACCTACCATTAAAGTTATAGACTGATCATGTTTTTGTCAATGGGCAAACATACAAAATCAGCAGGGAATCAAATAATTTTTTCCCTCACAGTATGCCCAGAATACATATATGCTTTGCTAGACCTCTGCCTGACTACTACCTATTTTATACAATGAAGATTTCTACAGACAAAAACATGGCTATACCATAGGTTCATCTGTGTCCCCCATTGTGGCCAATTTCTACATGGAAAAGGTAGAAACCAAAGCCTAAACATCTTCACAGAAATTCTATCCACTCACAAGTATAGCTAGGTGGATGATACTTGAATCAAGTTAAAACACAGGAATTAGAAGCCTTCATCGAACAGTTCAACTCTATGGACAGATATATTAAATTCACTTGGAAAATAGTCTGGTCTTCCTGTACTGTGCATTACACATTAAAGAAGATAAGATGCCTTAACATCAAAGTTTACAGAAAATCCATACACAGAGATCAATATCTATATTTTGATTCTCAGCACCCACTAGAGCACAAAATGGGAATGATCAGAACCCTATACCACCAGGCTGAAAGTTTGTCTACCAGCAAAGATGGAAAAGAAAAAGAACTAAAACATGTCGAGGAAGCCCTCAGAACTTGTGGCTATCCCAACTGGGCCTTCGTCAAATCCAAAAAAAGACCCAGCAGGAGCTTCTCCATAACAGATAAGGAAGAGAACAACTGCAGCAATGTTTTCATTCCATACACTGCGGGAATATCTGAAACACTCAGGATTTTCAACCAACACAATATAAATACACGTTCTAAATTTAAAAATACAGTAAGGGAGAAACTTGCTCATCCAAGAATGAAACACCCAAGCACAAACTGAGCAATGTGATATATCCAATACAATGCCGTGAGACATGTACAGATCTATACATTGGAGAAACAAAATAACCACTTCATAAATGCATGGCACAACGTAGGGGAAGGGGCGTTGTCTTACCTGAACGCCTTTTCTCAGCATGAAGATGTAGCATCCACTGATGGGTAATCAAAGCCTTCCTGCTCAGTTTTAGACTAAGACCAAACTTTAGCCATGCCTCCCTTGGGTGTTCCTTTCCCAGTTTTGATGAGGCGAAGCTTCTTAGGTCTGACACAATAGCTTCTCCTGAAAAAAATCTGCCTAGACTAACTGTTAAGGGTGGGTGTGGATGCTACATCTTCATGCTGAGAAAAGGCGTTCAGGTAAGACAACGCCCCTTCCCCAGCATGATAGATGTAGCATCCACCGATGGGACATACCAAAGCCACCCATGTCCCTGTCAGGAGGGAAGTCTAGGCTTGTGATTCGTGAGTAGAAACTATCTGCTGCAGGACCCTTCTGCCGAAGGATGCGTCGGACGCAGCGAACTTATCAAGCTTGTAATGCCTTATAAATGAAGAGGGGGAAGACCAGGTGGCTGCCCTACAAATCTCTTCAACCGAAGCCTGGGTAGACCAGGCTGCAGATGTGGCTGCGCTATGCGTCGAATGAGCTGTAATGTTTGGAGGAACGGGAAGAGACTGAGCCCTATATGCATAAGAGATGCATGCCCTGATCCATCTTCCAATGGTTGAGGAGGACACCTTCAGATCCATGGAAGAAGGTTGGAAGGACACGAAAAGTGCCTCCGTTCTGCGAAATGCTACAGTTCGCTTCAGGTAGTGATGCAAAGCTCTGCGCACATCTAATGTGTGCCACAACTTTTCCAGGCGATTAGATGGTCAAGGACAGAAATCCGGGAGAACCAGATCCTGAGACCTATGGAACCAGGTATTATAAAAGAAGGATCCAATTTGAGGATCACTCTGTCATCCAAAATATACACAGGTCACTCCTGACCGATAGTGCGGCTAGTTCTGAAATGCGTCTTTCTGATGTGATGGCTACCAAAAATGCCACCTTCAAGGAAAGAAAGTGTAGAGAGAAAGATCTAATGGGCTCAAACGGAGACCCAGTAAGGACCTGTAGCACCTTTGGCAAGTCCCATGTGGGATATCTGTGTACCACAGGAGGACCAGTTTTAACAGCTCCCTTAAGGCAGGCTGTAACTGCTGGATGATGAGATAACTGGACCTGATTCTTGCAAGTGAGAACAGTGGACAATGCTGCAATCTGTCTCCGAATGGTTTTATGCGACAGTCCCTTGGTCAGTCCCTCTAAAAGGTAGTCTAATAATACCAGAATGGTGATAACCAGTGGGTTCACCTTTCTTGTGGTACACCACGTACAGAAATTTCTC